GGAATAAACCATGAACCCACACTCCAACCTAAGAGGTTGTGGTCAGCTTTGCTTCAAGGGGCTTACAAGTTACAGACTGAGCTCAAGTCTTTTCCATGTTCCTGGCAGAAGTGATGGTGGCTATCACAGCACAGCCAACCACATAATCATACGTGGTGGACTTGTTGCTTCAAGTGGCCACAGCCTCTGCCTCCATGTCACGAGAGGTTTGCAATTAGTTCTGGATGTGCAAAGGCCAGAGTAGGAGCAGACTTCATAGACATTTAAAAAGTAAACACAAAGCTGCAAATCCACTAGCCAGCTATTCCTGAGCATCTGCCTTCCACAGAGACCCTCACAAGGGCTGAACTGGACTGGAGGATGAGAAAATGAGCCAGGAACTGTCCCTGAACTCCAGGAGCTCACATTCCAGACACAAAGTGTTTGGAGGTCAGAAAAGGGCCAAAGAAATCTGAGACATGCCTGAGCCGTGGCCAGGGCTATGGGTGTGATGTGCAGGACAGACCCCACTAAACCAGCCGTCTGTGCGTGCTGTCACCCAGCCCACTTAATCCCTTCTCCTAGCTGTGGCCTGTTTAACTGAGGTAGCCTCTCCTGACTTTTGCATCCCTCCTGACTGAAGATGACATCGGGCCCAGCTGGGCAGGAAGCCAAGCAAGTCCCAGGAATACTGAGCAAGATGCAATCCTCGATGATTCAGAAGGCCCTTCAGAACATCTTGGTGCATCTAGGTCTCCATGACAACACTGAAGGACCTTATGTTCAGATATTCAGGAAAGCCACTCGGAGGCTGGCTGGTTCTGGTTAACAGAGACCAGGTATACAGGGTCTCTGTGCTAGTGATTTGAGTCATAGGACTATGAAGAGGAGCTCTTAACTCCCGAGGACTTCATACCTTTACAGACCTGAGTCCCATGTTGAGCCCATAGGGTCTGGAGGCCAGAGATTTAGGCCACTTTCTAGTTCTCTCACCTCAAGGGGTCATTCATTCTAATGAGTTACTTGGTCCATAAAATGGGGATAATTCATGCCAACTGTCAACTCACAGCACTGCTGCTGGAAGTGCTGGAAGGATCTAATGAGCTTTATGTATAAGATTTTGTCACCTATAAGGGTGTCTACAGGTCTGGATGGTATTACTTGATCATGCATGTAAGGAAAAGATGGTTGGAGGGGTCCCCAGGGTCTTTTTCTCACAGCACAGTGTGGTGGTATAAAGTGCCAAATGTAAGTGAAATGTGTGCATCCATGTTCTGGGCAGTGATGTTGCAGAACAAAATGTACAACTTCCATGTAACTATAACTGGGTTGACATCTTGTTCACAACACTTTTGCCATGTGATCTCAGGCAAATCAAGTCTTCTTCATCTGTGAGGTGGGGTTGACAGTACAGGCTTTGTGGGCCTGCTGTGAATATGGAATGAACTAATGTTCATTCCTTTAATTGAACCTAGAGATGGTGTTTAATGGATGCTGACTGTAGTGGTGACCTCCTTGCATCCAAGCACAGTTGCTATTTCCCTAAACACCCCTCCTCTCCTCTCTGTGCCAGCAGGTCCGTGCTCTGTTTCCCTGTGAGAAGCAGCCGCTGGCCACCGAGATGTCCCGGCACCACAGCCGCTTCGAACGAGATTACCGGGTGGGCTGGGACCGCCGTGAGTGGAGCGCCAACGGCACACATGGGACCACCAGCATCTGCAGTGCCACCGCTGGGGCTGGTGGCAGCACAGCCAGCAGCCTCAGTGCCCGGCCGGGCCTCCTTCCACTACCTGTGGTACCCTCTCGGCTGCCAACACCTGCCACAGCCCCTGCTGCCTGCACCACTGGCAGCAGTGAGGCCATCACCAGCCTCGTGGCCAGCTCTGCCTCAGCCGTCACCACCAAGGTAAGAGCTGGTATCCTCTGTGGCCTCTCCTCACACCCCTTCCAGCCCCGCAGGTTCTGTAGGCTCGGCCTGTGGCATGCTAAACTCCACATTCTCCAGAATACTGGCTTCTCTGGAACTGGGCCTGGCAACTGTTTGAGGGTTAGCATGGGTTTATTTTACATCAGGTCTCACACTGTGACTAATTTCTAGGAGGACTAACAGATGCTGAGGCCACTCATTATCCTATGCCATATTGATTAAATGCTATTAAATGAGTGAAATCACAGTGAAATTCCAAGTTGGCAATACAGGTTCCCCAGATAAGTGAATTTAGACCATTCAAGTCCCCCTGATGCCAACAGTGACTTGGTTTGCAAGAAGACACTGACAAGCGAAAGGGTACCTACCACTTATTAACCACTGTGCCGAGTATTCTATCTACACTGTCTCCTCCCACACACACAACCACCCATGAGGCCAGTGCTTGTGTCACCCCTGCTGTGTAGTCCAGTACACTGAGGCCCATGGAGTTCACATTTACTGGTCCCAGGTGGTAGGGCTCTTTCACATGGATCCAGGGCTGGAGCCCCAGCAGTCTGACTCATTAGCCATGTCATCCTGTCTCTCCTGGAAGCAGAGGCTCCTACAGCAGAAAGGGTCTGTATAATAAAATAGAACATGGAAATCAGCATTGCCCAGGCTCTTGCCTGGTTCCAGGCAGAGTCTGGCCCTCCCCTCACGACAGCCTGAGCTCCCAAGCAAGGAGACCAGGCCAGTGTGCAGGAGGTCTTGCATCCCCACACTCCCTCCTCAGCCAGGCAGGCGTTCTGCAGGCCTCCTCTGCCAGCCATTCAGAATCCCCTCTAAGAGCCCTCTCAGTACCAGTGTGTGTGTGCACAGACGGCTGCCTTTTCTTTGCTGCTTTATAAAAGTTACCAGAGAAGTTAAAGGCAGGGGGGAGCTCCGGCCCCGGCCATTGTGAGGTGTCTGTGGTGTTCGAAAGCTGCACTCCAGGTGTGCTGTTGCCTTTGTCTCTGTGATTTTCAAAACTCCCTTTCAGCCCCGCTTCCCATTAATAACCATGAGTGCTGCCAGCAGCAGAGCCCGGTGGATGCCCGACACAATGGAGCTATTTGAGGCCGACTCAGAACGCACTGACATCTTGCTGCAGTGCCTTATTGATTTTATTTTCCTGTTATGAAAACACCTCCCCACTGAGGCGGGAAGGGAAGGAATGTTGGATGGGGGAGAAGAGTTTGGGAATTATTTGGGCACACTGCCCCCAGACCAGCCAAACACATTCCTCCGCCACTTGCCAGCCCCCGGGACAGCTCCAGATCCGTGACCTCTGTCCATTGGAGCCAGCCGGTTGGCTCTGCTGCCAATGCTGCCCACATCTGGTGGCGCTCCGCAAGGCCAGCTGTTGGCCATATGGAGAATGGCAGCTTCTCAAGCTGGCTGCTGGGGGCTCCAGGTGGGAGGGAGAAACTGGACCTGGGAGGCTCACTAGATGGCTTTTTTCTCTCAAGGATGGATGCCTTGTTAGTGATGATGGCACCAGCTGCTCTACAGGGTGGGGACTTTGGCTCTGCCAAGCAAGGGGGGTGGAAGGGACTCAGCACTGACAGCCCCTCCTTCGGTGTGGCCCTGCCCACAGAGTGGCTCTGCTCCAAAGCAGTTCAGCACTCACCATCCCTGACTGGCCTGGCCCCAAACCACAACCACAGGGGAGGAAAAGAACCCAGCCTCAGATAGAAAACAACAGCTGGGGCAAGGCCTGAGCTGGGGGGCAGGGGGTGGGGGGTGGGCAAAGTTCATGCATATGAGGACAGCTGATCTTTGGCATGTCACAACAGAGGGACTGAATTCCATTTCCCCTCCGTGATAGTTCCTAGCCCAGTTTCTTACCTGAAAGGGCTTGTTGGATGAAACTTGGTGATTGCTTATACCCTAGAGTCTTTGGGGCACTCAGGAGACCTGGGTGTGCAGGGAGAGGGAAAGACAGCAGCCAGCAGCAGCTCCTTCAAAGTACCGCCACCACCACCAGTTTCCATCAAGTCAATTCCAACTTATGGAGACTGTGTTTCAGAGTAGAATTGTGCTTTCAATGGCTGTGATCTTTCAAAAGTGGATCACCAGGGCTTTATTTTGAGGAGACTCTGGATGAACTCAAACCTCCAAACTTTCAGTTAAAAGCTGAGCACATTAACCATTTGCACTCTGTCAAGGTACATTATTTAATTCAGGCAGTGGTGACTTTCTGCCATTCTGGCCTAGCAACTGCTCACCCAATGCCTGCCCCCTGCCTATTTGTGCAACCCCATGCCAATACCACATAAATTGATGGGCGGGGCTAAATGGAGATGTCTGTGGTTTCCCTGGGCAAAAAACAAGCAGCTGAGGTCGGGCTTTTGCCCTCAGGGAGTTCACGGTCAGTGCATAATGAATGAGTCTATGGTCGGACAGTATGACCCAATGACCCAAGAACGTCTCTCCTAGTGGAGTTGTTGGCAGAGGCAACTTAGTGAAGTGGATAAAAAGCAAGACGTTGGAGCCAGACCGCCTGGATTTGAGTCCCACCTAACGCCTGCTAGCTGAGCGAGCTGAACCAGTTCTCACCTCTCTGGGCCTTGCTTCTATGAAATGGGAACAGATGGTTGCATCTACCTTTTAGAGTTGATGTGAGAATTGCCTGAGTTAACAGGTATAAAGTGCCTGGAATAGAACAGAGCATGGCAAATGCTAAGTCTTATATAGGAACTATTGTCACCACCATCATTGTTGTCACCACCATCCTGGTAAGGCCTATGGGGCAAGGGCCTGCCCTGTAAGAAAAGGTGTTCATTGCTAATATCACCAAGAGGAAGAGTCTTCAGATGAGAAACAGGAGCTAGGCCTCAAGTAGGCAGGGAAAGGAAATTGTTTTCTGAGTGGTTGAGGCCAAAAGTGAGCTGGCCCCGTGGAGCAAGCCAGAGCTGGGAGAATGAAGGGTATCTGGTGGGCTCCAAGCTGCAAAGCAGTCAGCACGTTCTTGGAAGCCAGATGATCAAGTGGAACGATTTTTAAAACATTTTTTAGGTGGACAGCCCTCAAGAAAAGCCTAGTATGTAAAAAGAATCAAGACTCCACCCTGAGTGAAGAAAGCGTGTGTGTGAAGGAGCCACGGAGAAGCCACGAGCAGAGCTGTGTATTGCTTTCCATGGCTGTTCCTACTGCCACAGGTGTGGGGAAGGCTGCTTGAATATATCAGCCTAGTTTCCTCAGTGAAGGGTCTGGTGCCACACAGGTCCAGAGCCACTCCGAGGATTCAGAAGAAGGGCCCTCAAGGAAGGAGACTCTCAGGGTACAAGTGTCAAAACCATCAGAGTTTCCCTTTGGCTAGGCAGGGAACAGGGAAAACATCACCCACTCAGGAGTCTGGGGCATTAGTGGGGCTCCTAGGGCCCTGCATCCTATGCCATCAACACCCATGTAGAAATGTCTACCCTCCCAGGTCCATGAGCTGGTGACTAGTTCCTCCCCAGTGCTGGGGCCTGCTTTCTGCCAAGCCATGTGGGGACAGTCCAAGTCCCCTTGGGTGGGGGAGGCTGGCTGTACTCCCAGTGATAGTTTAATGAGGAGATGACAATTCTTTCTGTCAGTGGTACCTTCAGGCCTCACTTGGTTTTTTTGTTTTCTCATTTATCTGTGGCCTGGAGAGTCCTTGCATGTTTTTATGAAAGGCCAGCTGGATAAGCACAGACTCTTGGACCACTGAGGCACCAGGAGGCCCCCCACACATACACACACACACACACACACACACACACATATCCACACACTGCTCAGGACAATCACTGCTTCCCTGGGGCCTGGATCAGCTTGTGAATCCCCAGGATACAAGTTCCCAGAGCCCAGAGGAGGAGAGGCACCATGCCATCCAGCCTCCTCATTTTGTAGGTCAGAATAGTGTGGAGGTCCAGAAAAAGAAAGCGACTTGCCCGAGGTCACCTAGTGAGCTAGAAACAGAAGCAGCCTGGACCAGCTCCTTTCCCCACCCCACGCTGCCTGCCGGGCATAATGCATTCACCATGGCAACCATTATTGTAGCTTCATTATGGTAACTTTTCCCATCTTCTCATGCAACTAGCTGACAGTCAAAACTGAATTTCAAGGAAGAAAGTGGGCACATTTACCTCTCCTCTTTTAGGTTGGGAAATTTAGACCAAAGATCACGTCAACAGAAAATTGCACAGCTGGTAAGAACTCAAACTCTTGAGTTACAGAGAACTGAGTTTGAGTCCTAGCTGTGCCACTTATAAACTGAGCATACTTTTGAACCTCAGATTTTTTGTCTATAAAGTGGTAATAATAATATTTTCCTCATTGGATTGTTGTGAGGATTAGATAAATTAATGCATGTAGAAAAGCTATGCCACATGGGAAGGAAGCAATAAAAGTTAATTTTAAAAAGTTAAACCACAGATCAGTTCAAACCATGTATCCTTGCATTTGGGAAAAAGCCAGCCTCCTGGTGGGCAGGTGCTGGGGAGACTGAAGGAAGGGTCATTGAACTGTCCCCCTCACCTTGCTGATGTGATGAGTTGAAGCTGAGGAATGAGGACAGTGGGAGCCAGCACACCCATTCCTGCCCACCCCCTGCCACTCCAGCCTCAAGGCAGCCAAACCCCCAAGGAGGGGGTGCTGCTGAGAAATAGAAACGTGAGTCCACAGCCGAGCCTGTTTGTGGGAAAGAAGGAAGCACCGATGCCTTGCAGTTGCTGCTGCATGAAATTTAAATTATTCTCAGCAAACCTGCTTGACAGATGAAACAGAAAAGGGACGGCTTCATAAAATGCAATTTTGTTCTTGAAAGAATGGACTCTGCAGAATCCTCGCTGATGTCTGTGAAATGTATTGGGGGCTTTTTCTCCTTTTGGTCAGGAGCACTCATGCTGAAACAGTCAGGATGGCAGCCCAACACTCTCATCGCTTGAAAATAAATCTAGGCTGGGAAGCAGAGAAACTTAGTCTGTGTC